AACCAGCAGTGGCAGAGAACTAATGGTATTACACATAACTGTTATCGACAAAAGTGCAATGTTATGATTCAGCAATTTCTTACCAGTTGAGAGATCGTATAGACGCACGACCTATGAGATTATCGATTAGAGACACTTTCACGACTGCCAGTCGTTATAAGTGTTTCATAGATGGTAACAGCTTTAGCAATGAGGAAAGAAGCTAACAAAGCGTCGAACAGCTCGTGAACCAGCATTCCTCCCACCTTTGCAGTTGATTTTCAGCATTTTAATCGCATGCGAAGAAGCACGAGGTGAAGTGACAATAGGAACGAGACAGGGGATCTAAGGCGAACAATAAAAAAGACGACAACCTCAACGCATCCGCCAACAGCATTTATTTCTGGGTGGGACCGCTTCTGCTAGAACGACAAGCGCCCTCGTCGCTCACTTTTAAGCAGCAAACGTGGTACACCCTCCGCCTTCACAAGTCGACCTATCCTGTACCAGGAAGGGGTTTGACCCAGTGGACCCAGTCACGGAACCTGTGCGCCAGCCTACGCTTAGAACACTGGTATACGCTCAACGGTAAATCATCACCTATACTATCCTATTCGCTGGAAACGCTGACGCAAAGTATGAACGCATTCTAAGGCCTTTCTGCGTGGAGCGACGTGAGCTGACGAGGAATCTGCTAGCGTATTGTCGCAGTTCCAAAGTGTAGCCACTGCCATAAATGTCGAAACGATGTCAAGGGTCATTGCGTTCCAGTGCCATGCAGAACGGTGTATATCTGCCATATTAGCACAAAATGAAGGACGATCGTTGAGATTGCGAATCAGAGTCAAGATCTTGTCGCTAAGGTAGCGAAAGGGTGGGGGCACGCGGCGAGACTATGCTGCGCCCACTCAATTCTTCTGCACTCTCCAAGGTTGAGCCTGTGGAAAGGAAAAGGAGGGGTATGTGACAAGGAAATCGTAATTCACCGCGCCAATGGCGTCGTGTGCGACGTCGCGCCCACAAATGACGATGGTTCCAGGTAGTAGATGGCGACAACAGGCAATTCAGAACCGAAAATAGTCATGAATGTCTACGATGACGGGGTCTACATGAAGTCCGGTGCTCCAATCGGTTAACACGAGTTAAGAAAACGCCGCGCCCATCGCCGCGCGCGGCGGAGCGGCGAATTACGATTCTCTTGCCCGTCTCCCGAAAAGGAGAAGGGGGTCACCAAGCTAGTACGATCTCGGTGAAAACGCAGAGTATAAGAACAGTCATCGCTTGGTCCTTGTTTCACATTTCTATCTTCTTCTTCTCTACATTTAATTGGAGCTGAACCTCGTCCCCCCGTAAGCCCCAACAAATCGTAGATTTACCCTCCCGAACACTTTTAGGCTATGTTCAGCCCAGTAGGTGGACAAGCATACATGCGTACGCACAGCATGCCAAGAAATTTTGTAGAAACTCCAGTGCTACTGCGCAAAGTACTGTTGAGACCCCGGCACGTCCAGCCCTTGGGGAAAATTTTGCAAAATAGGAACCTCTCCCCCTCCCTAAAAAGTTTCTCCTGTGGCAGCCCCCCCCCCCCTCCCCACTCTCCATCCTACCTACCATCTTCCATCTTCCTGAATTCTCCCACTTCCTAACATTATTCCGAAGTTTTTCTATAAACAGGTGGAGCGGGGTGGGGGAGGAGGGGAAGGGGTGGGAGAGAAAAGGCCATATAGTGTCTGTTAGTGAAACGAGAAAAACCAACGAAAGCTAACAACCGAGAACATTCCTCTCGGAAGTGAATACGACTCCTCTCTCTGGGGATCCCCATTGTACGACGTTCCCTGGAGACAAAACCTATCTGCAGCGCACGCACGAGAGTCGCGTAAGAACTACGCTGCCGCCGAGAAGGCTACGTTGTGAATGGGGTAAGGTAGCACGCACTGAGGCATCATCAGAAACTCCTACCGAACTATGGACTATAACCGGACCAAACGAACAACGCGACCATTTCCAGAGAAGAGTTCTGCTCTATTTGGGGAGGACTACACCGATTGGACGCGTAGGGTTCTGCGCGACGGCGCCAACTACCCGCTGAAGCCGTGCGTGGATCGCGCAACCTGCTGAGAACCTTACAGTCCTCCTCCGCGCTCTGCGGACATCCCTTGGCTGGCCTCCACCGTCAACCCCAGCCGAACCCCTCCTTCACCTTCGCTCGCTTCGCATCGCCACCGTTCGACCACCAGCAAGGCCAACGAATAGGTTGACTTCGCGGCTGCACTACCACACCCCCGCGAAAGGTAAGCTTTTCATACCGTGCACACAGCTGGAAGCGGATCTGCGAACCAGAAATGATAGCTGACCGATCCTTGGCAGCCCTCTCCACGCACATCTGAGAAACTCGGCGCCCCTTCTGTCCTGCCCCACGGCGTGCGTGCAGCAGTTTAATTGATACTCCCTAATCCAGCTCTCCCGCGATTGCTCCCACCCCCGCAAACCCAGTGAGTATTCCCGCAAACAATGCGCTGCAAGTCGGCAGGTACCGCCCCGCCGCCGGCGCAACACCCTCTGCCGCAGTGAGTTCCAAGCGCCACAGTGCAAAAGAAACGTCGTCCCACCTTTGCGTACCCTCGACTGGTAACACATCACCGATCGCGATGCAGACAATTTGTCTTGTCCGCAGCGAGGTCAACGATGTTATACTGCACACAGGTAAAGTAGAAGTTCAGATCGGCGGTCTCTGGATGAAAATGGTGGACCCAAGGGACGGTGAAACTTTCTAGGTGTATACGACGAGTAGGTCCATGGCCGCATAGAGGGTGCCCCTTTGCCACCTAAAATGTTTGATGAGAACTACTGGGACTTGTATGACTTACTACATCTATTCATCCATAGATGCGCAACACATCTCGGAGGCGTGGCATGGTTTATGGCGGTAAAGTTTCACGTTCTTATTGCTTGTGCGGTTGTGCTCTCTCTTCTCCCCATGGGCCGGTTCTCCACCGCGCGTTTATGGTCCAGGATTTTCACTGTCACGTATAAATTGCCAATTATCCAAGGCTAACTGAAAATGGGTCTATTTGGGACGTTTTCGGTGAAAATGGAGGTGTTTTCTGGACGTTTTCGGTGGAACCTTCCTCTTTTAACGGTTAACACGACAAACCGACGAGGCGTATAGGATAAATACGCTCAGCTGGAAAGAAACTACTCGTAGTCTCCGCAGCGATGCCGTTGCGTGGCGGCTTTCCAAGCCGGCGGCGCCTTAGAGTTCTTAGGCCAAGGTGGGCAGGGCAATGTCGAACTTAGACGCCACAACACTAAGCGCCCACAATCTGGCCGCACAGCCCGCCACATCGACGCTGGTACTCCTATCGCTTCATTTATGAAGTACACTCGATATGAAGCGCATATGAAGCCTTGATACATGGATATTTGAGAACGTACGTGTCGGTATCTATCAGAGCGGTTGCTGGCACGATGCCAACGGAAACTCGTCCAAAAATCGCGTCTTGTCAGCCGAGTACTCGTTCAATGCCGTGCAAAACATTTCCCGGTTTTCGACCGTTTCACTTCACTTTTCCGTCACTTTCTCCACTGCATAGCTCCCATGCTACCATTTTTGACAGAGTAGGTGCCTTATTCAGTGTAGGTGCCTTATACCTTTAAGTGTGAGAAGCAGTACAATTTAGAGTACAAAGCAGAACATGGAAAGTAAAATGGTCAAATTAGAAGAGAACATGGCAAGTGGTAACGCTCCGTCCATACTTTGCGGCAGTCGTCCGCCGACCACCAGCGTTTCGAGCGTCCGCCAGCGCCAGCGACTAGGAAAGTATAGATATCGATCTAGCGAATGCCAGCATCTACCAGCATCTGCCAGCGTCCGGGAGTATAGGCACAAGTAAGAGCGTAGGAAACAGCCTGGATTAGGCATCAACTGCAGCGTGTGCAACCACAACTGCAAGTACAAAATTATGCAATTCAATGTACGGCGCAGTGTAGCTGAACGGTGCGGCTGCACACGTCGCCATTCCATGACGACAATCCAGCTGTCTATGCTACCCTCCTACTTCCCATACTCTACTCCTGGACGCTGGCAAACGCTTTAGACGCTGGCCTTCACTAGATCGATATCTATACCTTCCTAGTCGCTGGCGCTCGAAACACTGGTGGACGCTGCCGCAAAGTATGAACGCAGCCTAACTGAGATTGCTACCATGAAGGGATCCAATTATACAAAAGCACATTCTACGCCTGTACGCAGCTACAACCGCCCCGTGACCGCTCACTCAGTTGTTTGGTGTAAGATATTCTCCAGTACGGGTAGAACAGACAACAATGTGGAGCAAATAATGCTTTCAATCATACCACCCAAAAATTAAGAAGTATCCTCATTCGGTGGAGAGATCCTTGAAGAAAAACCAGTGAAGAAATGGAGAATATTCCGAGATGAAAAGCATTTTATTCAATTGCGTAAATTACCAAATAACAAAATAAACATCTAAGTAACAACACTTCTCATAGCAGCATTTCAAACATATACACGCCTTGGGAAAAGATCAATGTATACCACGGTAACGGGGTGAAAGCCTACTAAGCGATCTGATAAAACGCCTTCTGTGGCGCTTAGTAGCTGTGGCTGCTGCTAAATGATGTGCTTAACCGTAGTAGGGTGGCTGCCCGTAAAACTGCTGCTGCTGTTGCATTTGTGGGTAATCAAAACTGGGAAACAATGGCTGTGGTTGTGGTGGACCCATAAATGGCGGCTGTTGACCCTGATAGAACTGAGGAGGACCTGGAATTTGTTGTGAGGGGAAACTTTGATAGGGAGCATAGGAGTTAGTAAACGCAGGTGCGTTAGACTGATTGTAGTAGGCCGGATTGTTTGCCGCCATCGGAACCTGCTGTGATTGTGGTTGTTGAGGGATCAGCTGTTGTGGTTGTTGTTGCTGCTGTCGCTGTTCCTGTATTTTCGGAGGCGTATCCACCTTAGCACCGAGAAGAGGTTGAGGGAAGGGCTGAGGCCAAGTGCTGGGAGTGCCAAGGACAGACCTATTTGGCATGCCCAATTTTTCGGCAATTTCTCTTGTCCTTTGCTCCTTTTCCCTCATATATTCCTTCTCTTTTGCTTTCTTCTTCTCTCGTTCCTTCTCCTTATCCCGCTCCTTCTCCTTTTGTTTTTCCTTTTCCTTTTCCTTCTCCTTTTCTTTTTCCTTAGCTTTGATATCGTTTGTTGATCTTCCATCAGGTAGAATCGTCCTTGCAAGCGGCATTTTTTGACCGGGAGCCAATGGGGAGGGGGCTCTTTTCTTATCGCTCGTTTGTCTTGAATCTTTCTTCTCACTCGTTTGTCTTGAATCCTTCCTACTATCGTTCCTCTGCTCATGCGAATTCCCACTTGAGCTTTGAAGATTACTGCTTCTGGTGGTGGAAGTCGCTCGATCAGGCACTGGAGAATAACTTTTGCTGGCAGTTTGTGTAGGTTGGTTGATCACTTCAACTAGACAATCCCAATCGTCGTCTTCTTCATCTTCTCCCTCTGCCTCCTTCCTCAACCTCTCAGCCTCCTCCAATAACTGCTTACGACGCAAAGCTGCCTTTTCTTTCTTCGACAAATTGGCATCGGATTGTGTGGACGATGCGTTAGCACTCGAAGTCTGTTCAGATGATCCGCGTTTGAGGGATTGCGAGTCTGCACCGGGGAAAACGTAGGACCTCGTTTCGCTATCTGGGAACACATCATCCCTATTTGTGATTACAAATGGAGATTTGATAAGCGGTGACGGAGGACGTGCTGGCTTATTGAAGCTATCCAGAGAACGCCTGACCTCAGACAGAAGTGTTTGGAATGTTGAGGTTTGCGGTCGTGGCTGAAAACCTCCTCCGAATATCGATGAAGATGGCTGAACGTTTGAAGTTTCGGAGCGATTCTGAAGACCTATACCGTATGACTGCAGATCGATTGATGGCCTCGCTCTTGAGTCTTCTTGTGATAACTGGGAGCAAAGCTCAGCCAATAGCTGATCACTGGAAGATTCAATGGATTTTTTCAGGCCTACCTCTCTGTAAAGCCTGTCCACCACCGATTCATCCAGTCTACCATTCCTTTCGGCTTCTTGTTGCATGGTGATGAGTACGCCCAGCAATTTGCGCATCTGTGCTTTCTCATCCATTTCCTCCTCATACTGCATTTGAGCTTTTCTCTGAGTTGAGCTACTTCCAGAAGTTCGTCTACCACAGCAGATACGGGAGCTGATGGTTGCGACCTCGCCAGACGTTTGAGTTTATCAAGCTTCTCTTCCAATTCTCTGGCTCTTGCTGACGCCGACTTCTGCTCTCTTGAAGGAGGATCAAGTACACTGGCTGCAGCTTGTGAATCTCCAAGTTTTGCCAGGAAAGCGGCCGCTGTTTCTTCCCAGGACATACCTGAACTCGCAAAAGGATCCTGTGGCGAACGGCTTCTGCTACGTCTACTGCTGCCAGAAGGTGCCCTACGGGAACGATCCCTACTCACAGATCTGTGACGAACAGGAGGGTCATGGCGACTAGAACGGCTGGAAGAAATATCAACCTCTCTGCTAGTACTACTACTGCTTTTATGTATATCGTTACGACTGCTATGTTTCTCGGGAGTTTTACTTCGACGACGCTTTCGATCTGGCGATTTTGACCGTTGTCTTCTTGTCGTAGAGATATGAACGATTTCGGGAGGCGATGAGCGCTTTCTTGAGTGAGCACTGTAACTAATCGATATGGAGAAAACTACGTTAAAAATAGAATAAAAAATTGGAACAAAAATAAAAAAAGCAAAACCTCCTGTGTTCACAGAGGAAAAGTACTTGGAACAAACCTGTCCTCCCTCCTTCTGTCTGTTTCTTTCTCCCTGTCTTCCTTTCTTCTGTCTGTTTCTTTCTCCCTGTCCTCCTTTCTTCTGTCTGTTTCTCTCGGCCTGTCTCTACTTGATGATGAGCGATGGTCACTTCTATCAGATCTGTCCTTGTCGTTGGATTTGGAGGATCGGCTACTTTCTTTGTCGCTTCTGCTCTTTTCTTTGTCCTTAGTTGAAGAAGAGCGGGTGCCACTTCTTTCTGAGCTCCTCTTGTCCTTGTCCTTTGAGTGGCTACTGCGCCTATCGCCATTACTTGTGTAGTCGTCTTTCGGCTCCTTCTTAATTACTTTATTCTTCGAATCATCAGGAGGAAACATCATCGCTGATTTCGATACAGGTGGAGGAACATCCATGCGTCCAACTGTCCTACCTAAACATCAGAAACTCATCACAAGCAGATTTACTTCGACTACAATAGTCAATATCCTATCTTAATTGTTTAACTTCCACACAGGGAATGTTTCATATACAACCCATGGCTGAGCCGCGCACTGTACGGCATGATAGGCAAAAGGGCGCGAAAATTCTCACTTTTTGGTGCCGCGCTCTTCTTCCTTAGTCACCTCACTTTCAACCGCGAAGGGGGACGAGCTAACTAGCGGGCAACGCGACCGGGCAGGATATTTAGAAATAAGAGGCTAGCGCTGCGCGGCCGACGGACGGAGCCATGGCCTCGGGTAGTGCGGAAGGTGTCTTCAAGGTCCTTTTCGATGCAGACACTGAGGCGGTGAGGAACTGGTTTCGCGTGGGCGCAGGCGACCAGCTCGTCCATCAAAAACTAAGGCAGGCGGACTTCGAAAAACCACGGTGAACGAAATTTGAGGGTTCCTTACAATTGAGTAACAAGGTTCAGTGAAACACACACAAATTGTTTGCTGTGAACGACATGCACGTCAAGGATCTGATACGAGCGGCATGAAACCCTGTAGGATTCCTAGCATAGGATTCTAAGCGCTAGTAGGGTACAGTACCGCCAGAAGAATACAGGTCGTACTCGTTCCAGGGGGGGGGAGTGATTATGCTGGGATTCTTGACAGAAAGCCTCTCCAAGTTTGCTTGTTTGTTTCACAGCGAGCTGTATAAACTCCAACCCTGATATAGCGCTACAGTACTCTCCTATAACCACTATTTCTGACAGTTGATCAGAGGACACCAATTCGCTCCCCCAACCCCCTCAGCTGCGTTCATACTTGCGTCAGCGCCACGGAGCGTTTCGAGCGCACTCGGAAAAGTGAGGGCGTCGAAGTCTAGGCGTACGCTAACGTTGTTCGCAAGCAGTTACTTCAAACCGGCCTCGAAGCGTGCGTTCATACCCTCGACAGAAGCTGACGCTGAAGTAATAAACACAAGCCTCCTGAATTTTTGACATTTGTTGAAAATGCCAGATTTTGCCCTCCTAATTATTCTTGGGATAACGTCGCCATCATTCGGGGCAACAAGAGGATGGAATGATTCCACCGGTTGTTAATCGGAGATGTTTCAACATATCGCTAGGTGTAGTCCAGACTCCACACATTGAACAATATTAACCGCTAACTAATGGCGGGGTATTCAACCGCCTAGAACTAATGGAGATGCAGACTCCGGAATTGTGCTCTTTTCCTGACACCACTCCTGTTTGTCGACGTTATCCAACTATAAACACAGATCTCTGCCGATCGTGAATTTGAAAAAAAAAGTCCCACAACATACTGTACATACCTTTCCAAGTATGATCAAGAACCATCTTATGTTCAGGCATATTTCCGCCCTGCAATTGTTGCACGATCCAGCAAAGAACGTAAGCGGTTCGAGACCACTCCTGGTGGCTTTTCCATCTGAACAGGTGAGATGTCATCAAGAAAATGGACAATCAACTCAACTAATTTGAATGTGTAGAAACAACGTGAAACTAAAAAAAAAATTTTTTTTCTTGCGAAAGCTCGTTAAAAGCACCAACAAGTTTTTGTTAAAGTTAATGAAAAAAAGCTAGAACTTTTTATTATTTCACTAATTTTATTCCGGACAACTGGGCCTTGAAGTGTAGCACCGAAATAGTTCGCAGATTAAGATATTCTAAAAAACAATTTCTACACTTTTGGTCGTTGTCTTTTGGAGGGTTCTGAAAAAAAAATTTTGGTTTTGTGAGTTCGGGTTTGTTTCTACTAGCATTCATGATGAGGAACCTGTACTTTCCGGGACAGACCAGAATACTCAACTCAACTAATCTCACCTTCCAAATCTGAATGGCAAACTGCGAAAGCATAGCGGATCTTACAACAGAGTTCGTCTCCGAAACAACTGTTTGATGATACATTTTATAATTGCGGAACTAAAACATCATTATTACACGAAAACCTCGAAAAAACGACAAATAGCGTGAGGTCAACAAAAAAGCACCCTCACCTTGGTCTGTCTTATGTCACTAACCAAGTATGCTAGTTGTTTCGGTAGTTTCGACGATGTTGGGAACGATATCACTAGGCGTAGGTCCAAACACCACACATTGAGCAGTAGAATGTGTCCAGATCAGAACAGTCTGCACATATGACCTGCAAGGGTAATAAACAAATAAATAATAGGTACAGTTATTAATATCACCAAATTGTAAGAGTTATACTGGGTAAAAGTTACGGTAAAAAGTATTGCTGAGCCTGACGTTTTGACTCTCTCCTCCCTCCTCTCTATGTTAATCTGAAAGCCTTGAAGACGCATCTTCACTGCTCCTGCTTAACTTGGACTTTCTTGCTCATTCCTTTTTTTGAGTCAGTTACAATTTCAAGGGTACGTCAAACAGACCTACACCTCTACAAAGAGAGGCACCTACCTTCAACCCCCGCGCCGGGGAGCTCGCTCAAGGATATGAGCACAGCGGAACAAGTGATGCCCACAGTCTTATAGGCGCGGGTGCTGAGATGCGTCATGGGGCTCGCTTTGACGCAGCGCCAGCCAATTCTCCACCGATTGTAGCAGCATGCCAGCTTCCACTACTCATGGAGAACGGGCTAGCCACACGCCAAACCCAGCCCAGTAATAGGGTACGCACCACTTGTTCGCTGCGTTTGAATGTCTTGAGCAAGCGCCCTGGCGCTCACAAAATTTGACGTATCATCCTCACGTCGCCAAAGTTTTAGCTCAGTTTAAACTATTTCAATTAGAGTTGAATGCTGTTCCAAAAAAGAAGAAAGAGCACAACGCATGAGCCGCATTTAGCGTAATATAGTAAAGATTGTCGGTTGCAAGCTGTCAAACCTTTGGGAGAGGCAATTTTGCAAAAACATGAGACTAAATGGAACCTTCCACCATAATAAATCTGTCAGGCTTTGTTCGTAGTTTGCTCGAGGTTCACTTACGCGATCTGGCGTAGCTCCTTGCGAACGACCGCGCTCCGAACGCTTATGCGCCGCTGGACCACTTTGACTGCCCTACTTCTCACGAAGGTAGTTCTTATTGCCGCATCAGCAGCTACGCGAGAAGATTAGCGGATGAGAACGCCGGCTCACAGCCCGCGCAACGAATGGTTCGAGACCAGTCGCGAGGTCATGGACGTTGCTTTAGGCCCATTCATTCGCACACGTCAACATCCCTTCTCCAAACGAACTGCGCCGATAGAAATCTCGCGACAGATTGGCAGCCAATTATAAGGTGTAGTGGGAGAGCGCGACAAACATACATTAATCATTACAAACTGCCTCGCCGCAGGGTGCCTCTCCACAAACACCGGCGTGACAGCTTAGGCAGTGGGTTCAGACTTCGCGTCAACGCGCGACAATGCGCTACAATTGCGACCGCGCTTCAATGCTGTACAAGTGAACGCAGGCATAGACGGATATCGATAGGGGCCAGCCGCTATTACTCTGCACCAGGTCCTTCCTATTCTTCGATACTCTCTCAAAGCAATAGCGACTGGTGCCGATCGATAACCGTCCATGTCTGCGGTACCTTGTATAGCATTGAAGCGCGGTCGCAATTGTAGCGCGTCGTCGCGCGCCGATACGAAGTCTGAACGCTGCCTTACAGCGGCGAATCCCCGTACATGCATCTCCTGCACTCCCGCGCTACACCTACCAATTAACCACTAGTAAACACTGACAGCGAACAAAGTAATAATGAAACCAGAAGGATTACCTCATATAAACAGTCCACTCCAAGTGCTCCTTCTATGCCCGTTGCTTTCTCGTTGAATTTTTCCGGGAGCTCCTTCGCCGGAATACGTTCTGCTCCCTGTCTCCAAACTGAAAACTGTTAATCCACGGCTACGTCTTTATTTCAACTATGGGTAATTGTGAACAAACAAATGCCGTCATTAAATTCAAAATATTAAATAATACCTATGGACATTTCAATATCTATGACATAAATTTATCAAAAAAATTGACATCATTAAAAACTCACGAAAGTCGACAAGCTGGTCCCTGGTTTGTATGATTTTCGAGTTTGTGACGTACGGATCAACTTTTCTGTCTTGCAGTGATGGTCGTTCGATAACTAAAGGTAGTGGATCTGGCGAAATAAGACGAATTGCTTTGTCCGCTTCTTCCATTCCTTTGTAGACGGGTACTTTGTTGGTCACTGGTACGTATTCCGGAAACATTGGCTTGGGACCTATGTTTTCAAAAGTTTCTCGAGTACCAGGCATATTGTAAGGTCCCGGAGGAGGCGGTACCGGGTAGGGATGCGAATTGTGTGGTGGCGGCCCTAAAAACGGTTCACAATACGATCGCAACTGTGGCGCGTTGACAACACCAACTGGAGGTGGTCCCATATGTGGAGAGGCATGTCTGGGTTCAGGTGGAGGTGGTTTCTGTTGATGAACAGCACGTTCTTTTAATTCCTTCATTTTTCGTTCCAATTTGTCTTTCTCCTCTATCAGACGACGTTGGGTGGCTTCTTTCTCTTGTAGGGCTTTAAGGCGTTGTTTTTCTTGATCGAGAAGAGCACGAAGCTCGTCGTGCCTCTTTTTACGTTGAGCTTCTTCAGCTTCCTTAGCTTGTTTCTCTTCTCGGGCTTTCTTTTCTTCTTCAGCCTTTCGTTTAGCGTCATCTATCAACTTCTGCACGCGAATCTTCTCCTTTAGCAGGCGCTCATTGCGTTCTTTAAGCTCCTTCTCCCTTTGAGCACGTTCGGCTTGTCTAGCTATCTCGCGTTGAAGCTCCTGCTCACGTTGCTTCCTTCGCTCTTCATCCTTCTTTTTCCGCTGCTCTTGAGCTTGTTTCCTGGCTTCGGCTAGTTGACGTTGACGTTCTCTGTCCTTAGCTGTTTGTAGAGCTACGATACCCTTCCTTTCCTTGTTCACCGACAGGGTCATATATAGGAATACAGTAAGGGTCTTTCGGTTGATGATCCTTCAGTAGTTGTGCTATAACTCGACGCATCTCCTTGCCGCCTTCTTTTGGTAGCATGTCGAGCTCCATGATTGTTTGTGGATGGTGTTTATGCTGAAAAACAACAAATAACTTACTATTTCACAATGTGCTCTTAAAGATTTCAACGACTGGTCCAGCTACATACCACGTAGCAGAGCACGTGTTGAGCTGATCGGACGTGAGCTTCAAGAGAGGCTGATCGTCGAGGAATCACTGCTGCACAGAGACGACAGAAAAAGTCCGGTGGATGGGCGCCGAGCGTCTCACTGCTTCGTCGTTCTACCAGATCTTCCAGTCCGATTACCGACAGCACGAAATCGTGAGTTTTCTCTTTGGCGTTCCATTGCCAGGTTACTTTCTAAACAAATGAACGCATGGGCTATATGAGAGGGAAAGTGTTAACAGTCAACAATGTCACAACTACGAGAAAAACACCGCACCCGAGCCGGGTCCGGTTGCACAAACGGTTTCACGGTGTACGTCGATTTGGTTTCGGCGAATCCCAGCATGTCTGAAGCCATACCGTCAACAATTATATAGAAACACATGATAGGCGATAAACAGTGGGTTACAAAAAAGTCTTGCAACTCCCCGTACTCTTATTTTTTCAAATGTAAACATACGAATGAACGAAACCCCATCCAAAACCATTCACACGGTAACCACACTCTAAAAGTTCATTGGTAACTAACAAGGGCTCGAAAGGAACCTTATACACACGTAGTCTACCAGAGGGGGAAGGCGGGGGAGGAGGGCAAAAAAAGATGTTCCGTTCGCAGAGCGAACCAGTGAAGTGTAATCCTCTGGTCCGTCAAGCCGACGTTCGTGCGAACTTAGGGTCCTTCAGGATCCATTCAAAGACTGTTTCCGCCCTACACCGATTCGTAGGCATCCTTCCTTGTTCGGTAATCTGTTTCTGTTCCTTACTCCCTAGGACTGTCCTTTTTTGCGGCTCCACTGTAAGTAACGAAGGCGCTGCTGCCCTCATAAGTCACAGTTCTGGCTCCTGCCTAGTTGTTCAGCCCACCAAGACTCAAAGGTAATTTGCTTTCACGATTCAGTTTTTACATCGCGTTTTGGTTTTTTTCCCAGTGTCAGGTAGTACTAGCAGTGGATGACGCGAAGAAACGATTGGTGAGCTCTGGCTTGAAACAAGCAGGTACGGCGAACTCGTACAGTGATGCTGCCAGGGGCCCCTATAGGGTGTTTTCTATCTCTCTGATATTTTTGCTCCTTTTTTCCGGCGAGTCACTAAGCGACTGAACGATTGTGCCTGCGAGAAGGATTTAGAGAATTGAGTCAATTCAACAAAACGAAACTAGCCAATTCCACCAGCCTGTGGAGGATTTTCGACTTTATGGAGGTAGTTTCGAAACCTGGCCGGCAGCTCGAGGCGGAATAGTCAAAGGTCAACAGAAGACTTTTGTCTCGTGTCTTCCAACCCTCTCCCTCCTTCCTCCCCCCCCCCCCCCCCCCCCTCCCCTTGGTAGATGGCACTCTCATGCACTGCAAGACTTTTTTGAAATATTTACAAGCAACATATATTAAAAGTGAACAATTATGTCTATACCGAATAGCACAAAGAAAAATTACCGAGCTTATTTGACATAAGCGCTTTGAATCGTCTAAAATGTTGTTCTGATGATAAATGACGGTCCCACACATTGCTAACAATCTCTTCAATGGTGGTCGAAAATGCCAGTTCGCATTGCTGAAAAATTTCGCCCCTCATGATGCATTGGCTTTTCATTAAAAACTGGACGTTCTGAACATAAATTACGAACGCAATCGAAATGGGATGGTCAAACATGAGAGAGCAAACTACTGGATAAGAATAAAAACATGGTCCACAGTTTACAATTTAAGAAGGGGGGGGGGGCAAATGAACTCTTAACATTATTGTAACACGGGGTCCACTGTTCGGCAAAGCAAAAACTAAAAGCACGAAATGGAGTCCTAACAACGGTAAGTAATGAAAGAATAGCCAAAAGTCTTTCAAAACTGCGTACTAGCGAGAATTCCCTAATGGAACGTGTTGTGACTTTACGTGTGCAGTTCACCTGGATGAAAGGTAAAGTCTTCGCCGTTGATCAATCCCTTCTTGGGATGCGGCACGTATTCTCCTTCCATTTAGAACCTCAGCAGCTTATTGAGTGCGATGTGACAATGACTCGCGGAGGGAAGCCAGTGTTCTTATTTTCCCAGACGAATCTGGTACCAATTTACTGTCCCAGAAGGTGGAAGGCTTGGTTGGCCTGGGCGGGAGTCGATCCGGGATTTGAAGCAGACCGCGTGCATGATTAGCTGCCAGTTGCCACCAGCTGGTTAAGTCGGCCAGTGGCTGCTCGGATTCAAGTTCGGCTCTGGCAAATCGTCCGGGATGTTACCCACGAACTTGGCGACTGGTAGTGTCGGCTGATCGCTTCACCACTCTAATATGCAAGTACTGATAGGTGTGGTACTTGCGCCACGAATCTGAGGGAGCCCGGAGCTTTGCTGGAACAGTATTGGCACTCTCGGTCGAAGCGGGCTTACGTTCCGGCTCAGGCAAGTCGTCCGTGAAATTTCCCGGCACTCTGCGAGTATGTTGACTTTTCCCATGAAAATGTAAAACTTCCGCCGTTCATCAACCCCTTTCTGGGATGCGACACGCATTCTACTTCCATTCAGAATCGCAGTGGCCTTATTGAATGCGAAATGGCCTACACAATGAATTCCAGGCCCAGATCATGTACTACACAGTGTTATCATCTCCACAGATGAATCTGGTATCTATTTACCATCTCCGGAGGGTAGAAGACTAAGCTAGCTTGGATGAGAGAGCACAGGGGACTAAAACCCCGAACAAAGCTTGCAACAAGCGCACCACTTGCTGCCATCCTGAAGGAGCCAGCAAGAAATTTGGTTAGGGTCAGAGTAGTCCATACTCTGCCGCTGATTAAGAGGACTTGTGAGTTCTCTCCGAGAAGGGGTAGTGGCAAACTGTTTGGCGGGACGCATGTAAGAAAACTCTGAAAGAAATAAATAAAGAAATATAGCTCAAGGGAATATATATGAGGAACAAGAGCGGTATTTGCAGTGCTTTACTTATTCAGAGGTGCATGATACAAGGAATATACAACAAATAGTCGAGGTTACAACGTAAATATTAAAAAAAGCATGATGTGAAGTCAGCATAAGAAAATAAGACAAACATTTAATTTCTTGAAGGTAATCTAGACGAAAACAAAAAATAAGAAAAAAAAACACGAAAATCTCCCCGTGGATTTCTAAAGGAACTAACCGTACACCGACAAAGAATCCTCTCAATCTTGCCATTCTTCTGTTTGAGCGAATGTATCTTGATTCCAGAAACAGCAAGCGCTTCTTTGACAGAAACCTCTGCCTTTTCTGCTGAAAACAAAAACTGTTTAACTGACAGAATAATTTTTGGGGCGATCCGATCGCACGATCCAGGCGATCGGATCGCGGAGTATAAACGCGTACTATAGAGAGAATTAGTTGAGCTAGGCTGAACAGACCAGAAAACGAGCAAATCGAAAACTTAACATACACGTCTACGAAGGCAAAAAAGAGTGTGAATCTGGGCTTTAGCTCCTGCCTCGTTCGCCCCATATCTTG